CCTAAAAGGGAAGATGGATGAGAACGCCAGCGTTCAGTCTTGAGGGTTTTTATGAAAGCCGCTCAAAAAGGCACACTCTATTACATTTAACTAAGCAAAAAAAATTCTGATAATGAGGGCCATGATACGAGGATATAGGAAAGTTAAATAGCCCAGGACAGAGGGAGAGATATCAAAACATTTTATCACACATTTGGTCAAAGGATCGGCTTCACTTGTCTCTTCGACAGGTTGCAATAAGGGGCTAGGAATAACAAGACTCATTAAAGATACCGACTACGATGCCGGCGAAGCGTTTGGGAATGTACCATGCTCACAGTCCGACTTTATAAATTATCATACATGAAATGGACTACGGACCATGTGCGTTCCACTAAGTTTTCCTACCAATATGACCAAGTTGCGAAAACAAGGTCAAACAACTTCTTTACAAAAAAAGGAGATTAAGACCACACAAAAGGCCACACCATCTTGGTATTCATAGCTTTGCCTAAATAATATATTCTTGTCTCAAGAGGTAGAAACAAAAGAATAATAAAAGAAAAATTACTTTTTCTTACTCTGAGAACAGGAATAGTAGGCCGAGTTGGATAGCGAAAATAAACATTTCGAAATTCCACCTGTCCGCGAAACTCGCTTTCGGGCTTTAGACCTTCATCTTCTGGAATAAGGGTCTTCCGCTTTAGAGTCCTGAGAGTCTTTTTACTGCAAAGAATAGCCTTTTTCATCTCAGGAATCATAAGAACATGTTCACCCAACATTTGTGCGCTAAAGGTCATAACAGCGAATACTCTACAAAATAATTAAATGTAATGTTCAGAAGAATTTTCCGGAAAAGTAATTAAGCTCAAATGCAGGAACATATTATTCTGACTTAATTAAAAGTATTTCCTAGCTAGCTGAATGCTTGATAGAATAATATCAAAATGCAAAAAAATAAAACTACTTATTTTGGCCTGGACCCTGTTTATGCCGCAAAGTTAAACTATAGGTTAGGTTATACGTGATCAGCCGCAACACGATACTAGCCCCTGGAAGTTATATAGTATCTATGCTTTTTGAAAGAAAGGAGGCCTATCAAAAATGTGTGTATCTATAGGTCCAGAATATATGACGTTTTTTGCGTTATATATTATTTAATACATCGCAATTTTTATTTCCATTTGGGTTAAGTGCCCCTATAGAAAGCAAGAAAAAAAGTGAAAGAAATACTGAGCAAAGTTCTTTTTAACATCAAAAAGATCATCAGTTAATGCATGCAATAAATAGACAGATTCCTATCTTAGTTTGAGAGTTATAAATTTACATGGTAACCATCATCCAAGAAGGTCAGAGAAATCTTAGTTTCTAACTCTTGGAAAATATCCTTGTAAAAGTATAAACAAGGTAATTCAACTTGCATAAACATAACGACCAAAATGATGCGGCCCTAGATTTTAATGTATGATCATACCGTTGTATAAACTCGATTTAACCACATCTTTTGTGCGTAGGTCAAAAATGCACGGATAAAATTAGACAAAAGATTTCCGAAAATTTAACATGGAAAAATCTGAACTGGCAGAACATTGTCGATAGTATACCAAAGTATTGGCTGAGCATGCAAACCGTGAACAGTTAATACAAAAGAGGTGGCTCGAATACAGAACCAGAAAAATCGAATGAATTCAAAATAATTAAGATGTATCTGTAATTAAATACATTGTGCTTTACAAAACTGGAAGATATTTAATGAGCAAAGCTTGCAAGAGACTCTTGGATCGTAAGAACAACCTCAAAGCTTTGAAGAAGAATCATGTCAGTTAAATTGAGGAGCTCCAGACAGATAGAAGAGAGACAATAAGTATATATCACTAAAAGGAATTTTTGTCATTTTTTGTAGTACTAGAAATAAATACTCATGCATCGTCACAAGAGATGATGACAAGGCATAATTCAAGAGGGGAAAATGATACAAATCGCAAACCGTGATGACCACGAGCTTGAGGTTTTCTTAAACATTAATCACACACTAAATTAGGCCATTTTATCATTAAGGATAGATGTACCACTGAATAGGATAAAAAGAAATGCAGTGGATGAAGTAAGAATGTGAAATTGATTAAAGAATTAAAGGTAGCAAAAATCTAATAAGCTGGAATTTTTGTCGGGCATGCAGAATAAAGTGCTTCTTTCTAGAAGTAAAGTTGTAGAATTCCCAAATAGGCAACAAAAAAATATGGATCTCTCTAACCAAGATTATTACAAACACGACAAATTCACTTACTTTATGAATTATAAAACACGTAAAAGGAGGCCGCATAGGAAAAAAAGGTTGGCCACTTTGCCAGCGCATACATCATAGAAGTGACAACAGAGTTAACTGAATCAATCCAGAATATCACAAGCTACCACATAAATAAACGAGTAAAATAAGAGACCACTAGAAAGGTTTAATAATTAATATAATTATTCTGTTAAAAATTGAAGCTATATTTGTAGAATTAAATAAACCAAAGGCGACAGCAAACCATGATTTTCTACTGTAGTAAATCTCAGGATTCTTACCTGAACATGCTAAGCATTTCAACCTTCCCATCGAGTATCAACAAAACACCGACGTAAAATGCGGCCGCATAGGAAAAAAAGATTGTGCACTTTGCCAGTGCATACATTACAGAAGTGACAAATATGGGAAACATGGCGTTTCTGAAAAATATAAAGTTTAAATGATAGTATTAATGTAGAATATAAGCTCCTGGGGATAACTTAATTATTTTAATATTTTTCGTTCATAAGTAGAGTTTCGAGATTTCACCAAATCAGCTATGAGGTGTATTCACACTATTTCGTTTAGGGTGATC